GTTTTATAACCGTCGAAAAGTTTTGTCTCATTACTTGATCTCTGAATGTTTTTTTTTTTTGTGATTTTTGGTATATGCGATCTCGAAGCATATATAAACAAGTTTGACGGTTGGATCGTTGAAATTAGTTTCATAGAATTCGTATCTCATCAAAACGATAGATTCACTAACACTTAAAGTTTATTTATACTTTCATTAAGTATAACATAAGATTTTGTGGCATCCACTAGTGTAAATATTTTAAATTGAAAATCGAATTCATTCATTGTATTCATATAAGGTCAAAGAGTGTAGCTGTAAAAATCATCAAAATCGGAGTTAAAATAACCGTTAAACCGTGATTTTTTGTTTTAAAACCGTCGAAAAGTGTTATCCCGTTACTTGATCTCTGAATGTTTTTTTTTGCGATTTTTTGCTGATGCGATCTCGAAGCATATACAAATGAGTTTAACGGTTGGATCGTTGAAATTAGTTTCGTGTATCCCATAAAGTTCAATGGTGTATATATATATATATATATATATATATATATTATGTAGATTTAAATCTATTTATTTTGTACCTATAATTATTATAGTTTCTAAGGGTATAAAATTTAATTTAAAACTTAATATATATATATATATATATATATAATTATTATACATAATATTTTGGGGGTATAATTATTATAGTATATATAATTATTATAGTTAATTTAATATATATATATATATATATAATTATTATAGTTTTAAACTTTTTAGGGGTATAAAATTGTTAAATTAATATATATAATTATTATAGTATTTTTTAGGGTTTTAAAATTATTAAATTAATATTCTACTTATCGTGTATCGTGTTACCAACGTGTATACCCGAACCAACATGTTATCTTAACAGGTGCTTACCGGGTTACCCGATAACACCCGATTCGTTATCGTGTCGACCCAAACACCTGTTAATTTCGTGTCGTGTCGTGTCGGGTTATCGGGTCGTGTTAGGAATTGCCAGGCCTAAGTACACGGCTGCTTTTTCTCTTCTTTTTATCGGCAAAAAATGCAAATTAGTGTTTGCACGAATAAGAGCTGAGGTAGCCCACCAGAGCGAGGGAGAGTGCACTGCAGGTTTAAATAGCCATTGAATGGTGCAGGCAAAGAGGGTCGGTCACCCGAAACTATATTCAGAGAGAGATCTAGAGAGAGACGATGGAAATCCCACGTGGAGAGGAATGTCATATACATATATAATGTGTGTGTGTGTATATGTATAGTGCCAGGTCACGGACTTGTATAGTTCTATTCGTGAAAACTTAGAGGTTCTTCTCATAGCTGTCTCCCCCTCGTCCCTAACGGTGGCAACAAACTAGATTATTACTCCTTCTGCCCCACTCTCTCTCTTGCTCATTGTGCGTGCGTGCGTGCTCTGTGTTCTTTGTGGTCATGGGCCTCACCATCAAAAAGTCCCTTGCAGAGCTAATAGCGTTCTTTTTATACGTGATATGCATATATAGCTATTTACTTAACAGAGTTCTTAATATTGAAGAAGAAACTTGAATTAAGGACTTTAAGGATGAATATTCTTAACCAACTCACTGAGGTATGAACTCCTCACTTTGCTTAATAGTGTTATCTTGACCATGTATTTTTGGTGTGGTGGTACTTTTCTGTCGAAATTGGAAGTGTCTCAAATTCAAATTGCATATTAATCAAAAGAAGAATAACATAGTTTTGACACTCTTATTATTTATTTTTATATTGTAAGACTGTTAATTTAGATCACATATTCATTAAGAATCACCCCATAGTTTGCAATGAGTACATGGCTGTCATATTTACTAGTCCAAACTCATAGTTCTGACAATGAAATCATCTTATGTTGTCAAACAACAACAAAAGAACATTTCAAATATTTAAACAAATTTTTCGTTGCTTGGCAATATAAAATATTTGTAAAATTAGGAATTTGGACTATTAATAATTTAATTTTAAAATCGATGTTTTGTTCAATTTCATAACATGGAAAAAGAACATTACCCCATCCACTGTACAGTCGTTGTCCCAAGCTTTTGTAAGGGTTGGTAGCATCCCCTCCTATTTAAAGCTTCAATAAGAACCAATAAAGTTTGATAAAAGAAAATTGATGCCAAGCCTTACAAGTTTACAACATGGAAATCAAGAAAATGAGTTGGATCCTCTCTACTCACTAATGCATAATTAAGTTGTTTTTTTGTTTATCACAAGTTACTTTTTCAATTATGGTTCTAAACGATTAATTACAATTTTCTTTTCTTCAGAACGTTTGATTATATAGAATCTAGTATGACTGTATATATAATTCAGAATCATAGTGCAACAATATAAACCTAATTTATATGATAACATTACACTGCATACCACATAGAATTAATTAATCAAAGCTTTACGACGTGGAAATCAGGATCATGTAATCCCAAGTTGGAATGTTTATGAATCCTTCAAAAGAGACCTTATGGCTCGCATGGCCATTAGCTTATGGACAAGATAATGGTCTTCCATTTGCGCGCGCGCGCGCGCACACACACACTAATGCAAAAAAGAGCATGAACCTTTTGTTTAATTAAAAATTATTGACAGGGATTGGGATTGGGAATGATTCGATGCTAAACACCGGATAGATTTTGATTTTACTTGGCAAGCTAGCTAGCTGCCGCCCATAGCTTGCAATGCACATGATTTTTTATATGAAGCCATGGTTATGTAATCCTAGCTACTGTTTGTTTTCAGTTCTTTTCTTGTTTGGAAGTTGGCTTTATAAACAGCTTATGATTAGACAGTTAAGAACATGGGGTCATGTGGGAATATTTGATTTAGCATTTTGAAGCAGTTGATCAATCTTAAAATAAAGCTCAAATCTTAATCTTTGTGAAGCTAAAATTAGCTGTTCTTTTGACCATAAACCAGCTAATGTAACATAAGAACATGTGCAGAGTAAAACAACATAGGTGATCTTGGAGAAAACCAATTGTCAATTTTCCACATACCAAGAATTGTGGTCCATTGCTTAAACCAAAAAAAAAAAAATAAAAAAAAAAGAGATCAAAAGAACCAAGACATTCAGTGTTTGATTGAATTTTATTTTTTTTTCTCATCAAATTATTAAGATTAAGATTAATTTGTGAAAATTTAAAATTTAAGATTGATCAAGTCTTAATAAATAATTAAGATTGATCAGTTCCTAGTATGTTTGTAATTTAAACTAAATAACTAAGAATGAATTTAGTCTAAACCTTAAACCCTCTATATATGACAAGAAAATTTAAAACCCTACACTTTAAAGTCTAAACCATTATGAGTTATTGACACACATTAGTTAGTATTATTACATTATTTGGTGAACAAATTTAGTTAGTTGTAGTTTGTAAAATACATCCACTGAATCATTTGTCGACGCAAAGTGGCAACTCGATGATGATCGAATGGTCTAATGGCCTAGCTAGCAGACCCACAATGAGTACAAATGTTGAGGGCATCTCATACCCACACCTTGTATCAAGAGAGAACACAAAGTACAGGAAGTATATTAGAGAGAAAAAAAAAAGGCCTAATTGGATAAATGGTCCATATGGTGACAAAGTAATCGGAAGATAGCTCTCGTGGTAAAAAAATTAAGATTTAAACCCTCGTGGTGCTAGTCCGTTAGCAAATTTAGTCCAAAAGTAATTTTTCTGTTAAATGTTTATTAATTAAAGGGTAAACATGTACTTTAACTTGTGCACCTTCTTTTTCCTCCGCAGCTGCATCCTGTAAACTGAGAAGAAGTAAATCACAGACAGAAATCTTAGAGAGAGAAGTCGAGAAAGAACATTAGAGAGAGAGAAAGATATTTCTTATTTTCTTAACACTGAAGATATTACAGTAGTAGAGTATTTATACTTCATCCTTCTTACAATTGCCTATTCTCAACAACCATAACTAACTCTCTTAATCTGTTTACAAGTGTCACAATCCTATTTGTACATTATCTCTATCAAAGTTCAATGTCTCGACTTTCTGTCGACGATTACAACGAGATTTTGGAAGGCGTCTTCCTAAATCAAACCGTCATGAACCCATCTTCCTCATCTCTCTGCTCCACTGCAATCACCATTTCCATGTCTGTCGCTAGAACATTCATGTTCATATGCTGCTCCGCGTGCAGCAGCCAAGCAATCATCGGAACCCCCACAACCACTGCTTCCAGGATCGAGTTCCATCTGCGAAAAGTCATGAACCCACCAACCGATTCCTTCTTCAACACCACCACCTACGGCGCCCATGACTTCACTACCATCCCCCTGTCTTTGGTCCTCTCCAAGAACCCTTCTGGCAAAACGCCCTCCAAATTAAAGTCGTCTACTCCAAGGACTTGCTTTGTTAGAACACACCTCACAAATAGTGGTACAAATAGTTGGTATAGCATTTTAAAAAATAAATGGAGGGGGAGGGGTCACTTGCACAGAGCCCCATATCGCCAGAAGGGGAGAAAAACTAGGATTGGCACTGGCCTGCTCCTTCCCAACACCCCCAAATCGAACCCACTCGTGTCGAAGAAGACCCATCGACATAGCCATCACCGGCCATGGCTGCGATCTTAGCTCGGAACCCACTCCAAGGACCTGCTTTGTTCGAAAATCTTGCTATAATCGTGGATAGAAAGTCGAGACATTGAACTTGGATGCAGCTGCGGACGAAGAAGATGGTGCACAAGTTAAAGTACATGTTTACCCTTTAATTAACAGACATTTAACGAAAAAATTACTTTTGGACTAAATTTGCTAACGGATTACTATCACGAGAGTTTAAATCCTAATTTTTTTTACCACAAGGACTATTTTCCGACTATCTTATCACCACATGGACCATTTATCCGATTAGGCAAAAAAAAATTGTAGTAGTGGAATTATAATTTGGTTGGAGGGTGGGAGGGTTTATTAATGCAGAGACAGAGAGGACACACTTAGTGCATCAGTCACCCAGAGCTGTCATTCGGTATTACAAAGCCACACCCTCCCTCCCTCCCTCTCCTAATTCACAACCAGCAAATCAGAGTTTGCAGCTGTCGGATTCTCTTTCTCTCTCTCTCTCTCTCTCTCTCTCACACACACACACACACACACAACCAACTTCTCCATTTCAAACTACCCATCAAATATTTGACAGCAATACAACCAACAAAAGCAAACATTTTAAACCAATCCAAAACCCTTTTAATTTTCCATGTGTATTCAATGATTTTCTTCCTGTAAAAATTGAAAATATGGAATAAATATTTGGAGGTGGAGACACATATAGAGCTAGCAGAGGAGCACAGAAGATCAACAAAAATATGAGGTGGAAGATACTAACAGTGCTCTTCTTCTTAGTCAAATATTCTTTAACTATATGAGTTCATCCAGCTGCAAAAACAAGTTAAAAGATCATCTTATTACAGAAGCAGAAGCTGTGAGATTTTGATTGTTTAGATGCCATGGCGCATTCACATTATCGATCGCAGTTCGGGGACACAACGTTTACAAAAGTGTTTGTCGGAGGGTTAGCTTGGGAGACACCAACTGATGAAATGCGCAGATATTTTGAGCAGTTTGGGGAGATTCTTGAAGCGGTTATTATTGACGACAAAAATACTAGAAAATCTAAAGGCTACGGATTCGTAAGTCTAATGTTGATACGTATATACTGTGTTCGAAGATCGCTGTGTATTCTTTCCTTTTTCTTGTTTCTGAATTAGGGTTTTAATAATTATGAGTAGGTGACATTTCGTGATCCTGAATCCACAAGGAGGGCTTGCACTAATCCAAACCCGGTAATCGGCGGAAGAAGAGCAAATTGTAACATTGCTTCACTGGGACGTCCACGACCTTCTCCCCCGAGAGGTACATTGTGCATTTTGGATGAATTTGAGCTCGTATGTTCGATTCTCGTCTCATTGAATATTGCTAGAAATTTGATAAAATACTTAATTTGGAGGTACATTTTTATGGTTCATACAGGAAGAAACCAAGGCGCCACTCCATACCCGGGGAATGCACAACAGGCTACACAGTCCTACGGCAGAGTGCCCCCTTTACCGCCACCACTACCGCCATCGGCTCCTATAATATATCCATCTTACAGGTAATTAGTGTTGCATGTATATTTTTGGGGCTGTGTTAAAAGAGAAATGGTCCATGCATTGAAATAAAAAAGTGAGTAGCTAGATAGACGTTGTGTCGGTATTTTTTTAATGTTACATTAAATATTACCTGGCTACAGTTGCATGACAACCCTTCAACCATATAGTTTATGGTACATTAGTGATATTAACCAAAATTATCCACAAGTGATTCTTGTGAAAGAGAAAATTGATTTCGAGACCTCGGATATAAAAAAGAATGACTTAACTAACTACTACACATTCAGAGATTAATTGGTGAAAATTACTTGTATTATCTTTGCAAAATTGTTTTGTTCAAATCTTCAGCAAAGTAATTCAAACAATTTATGTTTGACTTTTGGATGGAAAAAGAAGGGTAAGAGAAGGGTTAAGCAATGTCGTAGTCATGGTGGTCCTCAGTTAATTACTTTAGTGCACATATTTAGAGACCCCCTTTTTGCCGTTATGTATTTATTTATTTATTTTCTGTATTTATATTGTAAGATTAATGGAAAGACAATTGGGGGATGATGACACGTATAATAGTGCTTACACTTGTATATTTTTTATCTGTTCTCGTGGTCAATCTTTGTCTTGATCAGTCAAGTTGAGGGGGTGGTGGTGCTTCCTAAGTCTTTTGTGTTTTCGAATTTTTGTAGAATCTATTTATGTGGCACCCAAAATCGGTTGATAGGGATTCACTTCACTAGCAAAACTAAGTCAGAGATTGTATTAATTAGGTTACTTCTGATTCACTTGAACTCAATTTATTAATTCTTGTTAGTAGATTTTGTCATTTTCGAATTATGCAACTATCACATTTAAGAACATGTACGTATAATTAGAAAGAAAGATTTGGGATAAATAGGTAGGGTGATGGGTATAAGTAAACTAAGTTTAGTGTTTGAGACCTTTCGATGTAGAAAAAACAAAAGGGTTTTTGTATGGCACCCTATTGATAGTCTCATTCTAAGCAAATTTTTGCTCATCCTAACTCATCAATCTCATTGAATATTGATTTGCAGCTACCCAACCTACACTCCTGCAGATTATGGGTACCATCAAGTGAGTCTCTCTCTCTCTCTCTCTCTCTCTCTCTCTCTCTCTCTCTCTCTCTCTCTCTCTCTCCCCATTTGCAACAATTTGATCACATTATTGAATGGTTACAATAATATTGCAGCATGCTATGTACAACCCACAAGTGCATCAACAACCTCAGTACTACCCTCAAGTGTATGGATCATCACCATCTTCACCAATGGGCACTCCATATTACTATCATGGCTATTCTTTTCAATCTCCAAGTCCAAGGGGAACATTTTCTTCACCCCAGGCGCATCGTATGCTCGCCCCCTCCTATCTCTACTATCCTACGCACAACATGGAGCCCTCCTCCAGCTCCTATCCTAATCCTCCACTCCTACAACCACCCGCCACCTCAAGGCATAATCCTCCTAATGTTACCTTTCCTTCACCTGGTAATTAACTAGTTTCTCTCATTTTATTTATTTTTATTGCATGCGAAGTGAAGGTATAATCCAAACTAAATTAGAGAAAATAAATATTATAACTTTGTTGATAAAACAAGTGGTAAATTGTCCTAGTAGCTAGGTTCTTTCATTTCAACTCACTACATTTCGGGTTCAAACTTTCTCCTTCTTTCTTCTTCTTTTATGGTAGATTAGTGTAAATATCATTTGTAATAAAAAAAAAAAAGGTTGTGGATAGCTAGAAACTAATCCCAATACATATATAGGAAGTTTTATTTAGGTTCCCTAGGGATTTGTCTATTTGGGGAGAGGAACTAGTGGGGCAAGGGGGGGAAGTGCAACCCATGTGAGTGAGCTGGCTGCTGCATGGCTTGTGTGATGACCAGAAGAAAAAGGTCAAATATTGGAAAGTCATGACAGAGAAGCATATCGTACATGTAAACTAACAGTGACTGCATGTAGCTTCAGCCTCAGAATTATGGTTCATTATTCTCAAGATATGGTGGAGTCAAGTGGTTGTTTAGAGAGGTCCGGGCATGTTAGATACTTCCAATCATGAGTCAGGGAAATTAAGACGTGGGGATAGGAGGGAAGCTAAGTTAATTTTACAGAGAAAAAAATATCATCGTAAGTATATATACAATTATATTTATGCTCAAGGCGGTTTCTGAGTTTTTGGTAGCTCATAGTGAAAAATTACAATGCAACTTTTTCGACGCGTTGTCTTCACCAGAAAAAAAAACATATAGATTTGATTTCTTTGTATTTTTCGTTTCTTAGCTTAAACTTTCAAGAGCCAAAATTAGGGTTAGGGAAACCACCCCCCGATCCGACACCCCACCCCTGCTATTGTGCCAATATATTTTTTAGTTTCGGCCTACACACAAAAGTTCGTGTCACTAATTAAAAAGAACATCAGATTAACATTATATTAAAAATTTTGGATGATTTTGTTGGTATCCAAATAAATCATCATACACCCTAGATTTATAGAAACACTAAAGACAATTTGTAGATAAAAGAATGCAGTATGACATATTTGATGTTGTTTAAATTTGTCTTTGACAAGAGGAGAACTTAAAACCTCTAATTTATAAGTAAAAAAAAATGTCACTAGATCATAGTACTATATGACATATTTGGAGTTTAGATAAAAATACTTAATTTTTTTCTTCATAATGAATATATAACAAATAAAAAGTTTCGGGCCCTTGGTGTTGGAGCCCTAGGAAATGACACCTAGCGCCTTTTTATGCGTTGCTATACGTTTTCTAATTTACAACTAACTTTTTATAGACTTACGTGTAATATTGTTATCTTGTCAGACGTATTATGTTGCTAATTATAACATCAATTATGTCATATTGGTTTAAAGTTTGATAACAAAATTTGTTTTGCAAAATTTATTTTGCAAAATAGTTACTATATGTCATGTCATGCTGTTTAATAAAACGTTGCTATACGTTTTCTAATTTACAACTAACTTTTTATACACTTACGTGTAATATTGTTATTTTGTCAGACGTATTATGTTGCTAATTATAACATCAATTAATTATGTCGTATTGGTTTAAAGTTTGATAACAAAATTTGTTTTGCAAAATAGTTACCATATCATGTCATGCTGTTTAATAAACGTTTTCTATATTTTACACACACACACACACACCACTATTTACATCTAGGGAATAAGAAAATAAATTTGTATTGAACTCGACTCGTCATTTATGAGATTTGAACATAAATCTTTTCACTTATTAATAAAAAAGAATGCTATTAAGCCTTAATTCTAAGTGACTTTTCTTGCCGATGTTCGAAAAATGTATCCAATTTATAAATGGCCGTGGATCGCTAGTGGTTGAGTGGTGGTTATGGTTGGAAGATTTTTTAGTCATTTTTCATGGTGGCCATAGAGTTTGTAAGTGTCATAACCCCACCCTTTGAAACCCCACATATATAAGCACATATTTTTCTGTCGGACGCTGTCTCATTTCATAAGACATCCATGACATGTCATGTTGAAATTATGGACCATTCTAGCTAATATATATATACTGACGTACATCATACAGTTTTTCTACTTAACGCCAACCCAATTTAGGGTTTAGTTTTAGGTTACAATAAGCAATCACCATGATCTTCTTACCTAGGCTTGATTAGGTTACGCTTGATCAGATAAAATTGTGTTTGCCTGTGTATATACTTCGTATATTTTAATATGAGAGTGTGCTCATGGAAATATATGAATTGGTATTGTTGGTTTCAGATTCGCGGAATCCACAACATGCCTCAACAGAAACAGAACCTGGAGTTGTTACTTCAGAATGCACTCCAGATGCCTAAAAGGACTCGTTGATAAATACATGATCTGATGAAAAACATTCAATTGTATAAACTTTATGATTAAAATTTATTATGTTCCTTATCACTCGATCCTTACGTTCTGCTGTCAGTCATTCGTAAGATTCTTTTTGGGTTGAAATCTGTAACATTAGGTGACTACTGCTTCAAGATTTCTTGTGCTCAGCACAGATATTACAAGAAAGAGATGATCAACTAATCATTCACATTTTACTCTCAACTATTTTCATTTACTTTGTTCATTTCAAGTGTACTGTTTCTGTTCATTTCAAGTGTACTGTTTCTCTAATATATATATGAGGCAGCTCGGCAACCACAAGTTAGTGATTCTCCACTCTTCTTGTTGGTCATTCTCTACTCCTCTTGTGTAAAAAGATAAAATAAAATTTAATGAGAAGAGTACTAAAGCTCACTGGAGGATGTCAATAACAACTCCCAAAAAGTAAATAACAATATACAAAATGCATAACAATAAGCAAGACCTCGAATAAATATAGTGATGACAACAAACAAAGAAAGACCTACTATTAGCCTACAAAGGAAAATCAGGTTGGAACTAGTTAGAACTCTCAAGTTTAGTGTCTCCCAAATTATTTACTAGTTAGAACTCTCTCAAGTTCAATGAGATCAAAATCAAATAACCCTCATGTTGGAAAAAAGTTATGAAAAATTGCTATATATTTTATTATAAATTATTAAATAATACACAATAAAATCAAATGCAAGAAGAACCAGGAATAGAAGAACCTTAAGAGATCGAGGCTAGAATTTGATTCTATAGCCTTAAGACAAGATTGCCCCTCAGTGGTGCCTTAAGGTTTGTGTTGGCAAATGTCTCCCAAGATACAACGATCTTTCTCTTTGCGGAAGTAGCACTTCAATCCACAAAGAACAGCGAACCAAAAGTTTTTAAAACTCTCCCTTTGTTGAACACTAAACTACTCTAATTTCTATATGATTTCTGAATGCAAAGTATATAAAATGTTTTGACTTGGTGGTCTATTTATAGGCTTTGACATGCCTTCTTCCAAAGAAGGCGTCTGTTTTCAAAAGGACAAAGGATGCATCCCTTTGTTCAAATAGTGATAGCCCAACTATATGAAATGGCTGGGGAAAACCATTCGTGTATTCAAGTGGTTCAAACCAAAAGGGACTGAATGATACATCACATGTATCAGACTTTTAGTCTAACTGGTGTGTCATTTCAGATACTGTTATACTCTTATTTTAAATTCAAACAAGAGTAGTCGGTCTAATCCATCCCATAGCAACTTTCATGACAACACAAAATCAAATTGAACAGTTGCCTAGGCTACCCTACGTAGCAATTAAGACTTGCTCAGTTTTAACACTTTAATTTTCATACATTTAAAATATTTAATATTTAAATATTAATAATAACTAATATTCTAATATTAAATTTTTTTTAACAATCCCCACATGAATGAAAATTAATAAAATTTAATGCAAATGCAGATGCAGACACTTAGAGAGAGTTTAATTGGACAAATACCATATGGGGAGAGGTAGCTTTTGGCTTTGAACCTTCCTTAGTGAAATATTATTGGATTTACTAGCTAATCAGTGAATGCGATGTCTTGAACTGCTCAGCCGTTGATATAAACCAAGACAATAATATTCACATGGTATTCCTCCGAACACATATCGTTCTACGGTTGTGTTCATTTTGGCCCTGAACAATTCCCGGTAATCCTAAGTGCTTTAGAGAATTCAGCCTTATAATTCTCATAGAAACGGTCACTTTTCACACTCATGTAGGTGATATCCCATTAAGAGTATCCTGCACAATACCCCACTTGTTATTTCCAAGTATAGGAATCATTAAAAGCAAAACTTATCCTAAACACGCTGCAGATAACACTGTTTCATCATAAGACATGGGTAGGAGATTATCTCTGCAGTGCTTCCACTGAATCATCCACAATTCGGTTGCCCCTTTGAACCTAGATCTTGGGATCTCCAGTCAGCTAGGTTGGGTTGCCATTATGGCGATTCTTAGGATATAGGCTTTAAACCCATTCCCCTCGATGATTTATAAACTTGCTCTCTAGTCAAACCTTTAGTAAACGGATCCGCTATATTTTCTTTTGACCTTATGTTATCAATGGTAATTATACCACTTGAGAGAAGTTGCCTAACGGTATTATGTCTACTACGTATGTGTCGAGACTTACCGTTGTACATATGATTTTATGCCCTTCCAATCGCTGATTGGCTATCACAATGTATACATATGGCGGGCACCGGCTTCAGCCAATTGGGAATATCCTTTAAGAAATTACGAAGCCATTCAGTTTCTTCCCCTACTTTGTCTAAAACAATGAACTCAGATTCCATAGTGGAGCTAGCTATACACGTTTGTTTAGAGGATTTCCATGAGATGGCTCTGCCACCTAGAGTAAACACATATCCACTCGTGGACTTCGAGTCTTGTGTATCAGATATCCAGTTAGCATCACAATAGCCTTCAAGTACTGCTGGATATCTTGTGAAGTGCAATCCATAGTTCTGTGTAAATTTCAAATAACCAAGAACCCTTGCAATTACCTTCCAATGATCCTTTTCAGGATTACTCGTATATCTACTCAATCTGTTAACTGAATATGCAATGTCTGGACATGTACAGTTTGTAATGTACATCAGACTACCAATTATTTGTGCATATTTACTTTGAGATATACATTGACCAACATTCTTTGATAAATGCAAATTGACATCATATGGTGTTTTTGTAGGACTACTTACATAATTACTAAATTTTGTAAGTATTTTCTCAATATAATGTGATTGAGATAAAATTAGTCCTTCAGGCGTTCTAGAAATCTTGATTTCTAGTATAACATATGCAACTCCCATATCTTTCATATCAAACTTACTAGCCAACATTCTTTTGGTAGATTTAATAATCTCATAATTACTACCAATAATTAGCATATCATCGACATATAGACACACAATGACATATCCCTCTTGTGTGCTTTTAGTGTAAACACATTTGTCACACTCATTTATTTTAAATCCATTTGACAAAATTGCAGTGTCAAACTTATGGTGCCATTGCTTAGGTGCTTGTTTTAAACCATAAAGTGATTTAACAAGTCTACATACCTTTCTCTCTTAGCCATGCACTATGAAACCTTTAGGTCGTTCCATATAAATTTCCTTGTCCAAGTCACCATTTAGAAAAGCAGTCTTGACATCCATTTGATGAATCTCAAGATTATGAATTGTTGCAATAGCAATCAACATACGGATGGATGTTATCCTTGTGACTGGCGAATATGTATCAAAATAGTCTAAGCCTTCTCTTTGCTTATAACCTTTGGCGACAAGTCTTGCCTTGTACTTGTCAATAGATCCATCTGCTTTCATCTTCCTTTTGAAAATCCATTTATAACCTAAAGGTTTATTTCCAGGAGGAAGATCCACCAATTCCCATGTATGATTTTGCATGATGGATTCAATTTCAGCATTAATAGCCTCTTTCCAAAATGGAGTTTCTGGAGAGGTTATAGCTTCCTTATACATTTGAGGCTCATTTTCTAATAAGTAAGTAAGAAAATCAGGTCCAAAATACGTTGATATCTTAGCCTTCTTACTACGTCTTGGTTCAATATCTTGTACATGTTCTCGGTCTATAGAATTATCATTACTTTCTTTATGACTGCTATTAAAGTCATCATAAATTCTTTTCAAAGAACTTTGTTCTTGTGCAATTTTCCATGGAAATACGTTTTCAAAGAATGTAGCATTCCTTGATTCAAATATTGTATTAACATGTACTTCGGGATTATCCGATTTATGTACAAGAAATAGATATGCACCACTATTTATGGCATAACCAATGAAAACAAAATCAATGGTTTTAGGTCCTACTTTAATCTTTCCATGGAAGCATAAGATGTTGAAGATGAGTACTCGAGAGCAATGCTAGGTAAGTAATCAGGCAAGGGGTTCTAGGTAGTTAGTTCCTGACTGGAAGTTTGATTCCAAGTGCTGACTGATTGCTCTCTTTCTCCTTGTCTTGCAGGTAAGAACAAGGCCAAAGGAAAAGATAGGGAAAAAGCATGATATGAGATACTCTTGTTTTAACCCTGATGATATTAGATACTCCTGCTCTGGTGTGGCTTGTTTGCAGAGGTATTATAGGGAGGAAAATAAGTTGAGTATTTCGAGAGACTCTGCTGAGAGTGCCCTCTCGGATGTGAAGAAAAGTTGAGCATTTTTTTTATATTTACAGGTCTGCCTGGCTGTGGAGGATGAAGGTCAACATATATAGGAGTCTCCCTAATAACAAGTAGTAGTGCTATTCCTTTACCCTTCTTGGTCATAGCAATGTAGTGGGAGTTGCAAACTTCACATGTTTTAACTTTGTCAGAGCACTTTGAAAAAATGGTCTGTGGTATCTAGAAAGCTGATGTTGCGTGTGAAGATTGCAGACAAGCTTTATCCAAGGAAATCTGGCTCTCGAAGTTCAGAGAGTGATGCCTCTTCTATTTTCGAACAAGCAATCCTGTTAGGGATCTGGCTCTCGAGATTCAGAGAACGGTGCCTCTTTGATTTTTGAGAAAGCAATCCTGTTGAGAGTCTGACTCTTGAGATTCAAAGAGCAGTGTCTCTTCGATTTTTGAGAAAGTAATCCTGTTGGGAGTCTGGCTTTCGAGATACGGAGAGCGGTGCCTCTTTGATTTTTGAGCACGTAATCCTGTTGGAAGTCTGGCTTTCGAGATTCGAAGAGCGGTGCCTTTTTGATTTTTGAGAAAGCAATCCTATTGGGAGTCTGACTTTTGAGATTCGGAAAACAGTGTCTCTTAGATTTTTGAGAAAGTAATCCTGTTGGGAGTTTGGCTCTCGAGATTCGAAGAGCGGTGCCTCTTTGATTTTTGAGCAAGCAATCTTGTTGGGAGTGTTTTCTCGAATTGTGAGTAAAGGTTGGGCATTTTTGCCATTCTGCCTTGCCACAGAGCATGGAGGTTGACACACATTGGGACTTTCTAGTTATCAAGCAGTGATGCTGTTCCTTTACCTTTGTGGGTAATAGTAGGGTAGCTGGACCTTCAAAATTTATGTGTTTAAACTTTGTCAGAGATCTTTGGAAAAGTTATCCGTGGTATTCGAGGAGCTGATGTTGCGTGTGAAAAGTGGTGCCTCTTCGGAATCTAGAGAGTGGTGCCTCTTCGATTTTTGAACCA